TTTGACAACGATTTACTCATTGACAAAATGTCCCTTTCTCAGCGAAAATCCGGGCCTAGTCTCATATAACTCATGTTACTGTACCTTTAGTACTCTCAAATATCTATGGCCATTTGTTCTCCAGGGAAAGCAACAACACTTCGATGCACAGACATTTTCACTGGGTGAAAACATCATTTCCACCACACAAAGTTGAATGGGTGTATCATATCCAATTATTCCTAGGAGGCGTCTGGATTACCTAGTGCTTTACAGTTACTTTTATGGCAGCTTCGGTGCATCTACCTCTTAAAACCAGAGGTAAATCAGGTTTAAAGGCTTTGCAACCCCTTTTAACAACAAGTGTTTCTAAATCTCCTGGTCAGTGAAAATTATATGATGTATATGTGGTTGCAATTATGCCTTTTCATAACTTTTCTTTGCGTTGTCAGGTCCTGACTTCAATAAGGCAAAACGTCTGTTATACACGTCCAACTCGTCAAGTTCGTCGACCCCTACCGCTACGGCTGTTGTCATCCCGTGTCTTTCTGTATGCAAGACGCAGGTCGCAGACTTTCCTTCTGATTTAAACGAGTTTGCGGACGTTACCCTAAAACTTTGTGGGCAACTTATAGGGCTTATATAAAGCGTCGGTCACAACCCACCGTGCTTGCCTTTTGTCCGTACGTTTTTTTTGGGGGGGAGGGGGGGAGGCCACGTCTGCAACGTTTTTTTGAAAACGTGGGGAAGAAGTGGCTCGTCACTCGCACGGTTGCGCAAGGTGTAAGAGTGTGGTCTGCACGCCACGTCTGGCCGTGAGCGGTTGCGTGCATCGTTCGTTGCGAAGCGGAAAGTGAGTTGGCCGTACTCACACGTGCTGCTTACGCACGGCACGTGCGGTGCACGCGGCGTCGCCCGTACTCGCACGTACGGGTGGTGAATCCGCAGACCGCACACAGAAAAAGTTGCACATGCACTTAAGTTCTACGGCGTGTCTGCGTGCTCCCAAATCCGTAGGATTCCGTACTGAGGTGGTACTCACCACTTACGGATTCCCTACATTTGCCCACGTTTTTGCTAGATGATAATGATGACGACAGTATGATCTATATCATACTACCACATAAACCTCTTGGGGACGTTAAGAGCACTACTATCATCGATACGGTAATTGATCTGATAAGGAAAAGGAAATTCATAACACCAATATCTAAATATAGAAATATCAATGTATGCAATATATATCTTCATATGCAACAGATATATCATACAAAACAGCCGAGATCTGAAAGATATGGCATGCATACATGCACATCAAAATAAATGGAACGAATTATAGAGTTTTGAAATCTTCGAATGTTTTCTTGGGTAATCGTAACAGTTCAAAGCCTGCATCCCTGATATGACTCACATGAAGTTAAATGGATCTGACTGCACTAGATCGCCCAGCCCAGCCGTACATCTATCATTGGGACTTTCTTTGACGACCTTTTTCTCTCCCTGACACCATGAGTACAGAAGGGATTCCATCACCTGCACACTTCTCTTGGGCTTTGTGTACAGATGGATCACTTGATAGCTTAGTTATTTTGGGACGGTGCTTAATTTTCGATTCCCCGTCTTCACATTGGCCCCGTGCACACGAATACACTGTAAGTGGTTTCAATCCGGATTCCACTGAAGCCGGATTCAAGTGGTTAAAACTGAACGCTCCAAATCGCATTAAAAGCGCGCACCTCGATCCCGAACCATCTCGGCAGGTAGTTTCGAGCCGATCGCGATTTGCGTCTGAACGCAAAAGAGCAGCAATGACCAAATATTGTGTCCAATCTAGGACGAGCTTCATAGCCTATGGTGGCACCACGTCGGCATTCGGCCGAGGTACGCAGGGAGGGGGGCACCAGTAAGCAGGTCGTTGACCTCTGACATTGATAACAGGCTACCGTGCGTGTTTTTATCAAACAATGAATGTAGTTTAGGCGAATCGTACTCGGGCACGGTTTGAAAGGAACGTGTGGCGCCATGGCACATGGATCAGGTGTGAGGAATGTGATTTACCCGATTCGTGGTTCAGTCGGTCATCCTACTCAGAAAAATCTTTATCTATATATGTGTACATGAATCTGTATCTGTGCATGAATATGTATCTGTACATGAATCTGTATCTGATTGCAAATAAAGATATCGAGTGATTGCCATAGATAGGTTCAGGCGGTTCCGTGTGAACAGGGCCTTACCTGGATCGCGGTTTGGCAAGAAGACGGCTGTTGTCTTGATGAGGTCTTGTTCAGAACATCGATATTCGGTCCCTGAAGGAATTTTTAAAAGGCGAAGCGTGGCAGGAGCTACTGTAGTGTGAAGATGCTGAATATCCTGTAATACAACAAGGCTGTCATCTGTGTGAACTAGTTACCACAGTTGTGGGGTCGGGTGCTCGACCAAGAGGTCCCTGGTTCGAGTCCTGACACACCGATCTTGTGCCCTTGGGAAAGGCACTTAACACGACTTTCCTCACTTAACTCAAGTAAAAATGAGTATTGTCCTGTCCTGTATTTGTCCTCTGCGTAGGTGGCGGTATATTATAAGTTGATATAACTTGTGTGTACCGTCACCATGTTTAGTCATGAAATGTTGGAATAAAAAATACTAGTTACCAGACCACAGAGCGATATTGCAACTCTCACCTTTCAGTTGATTCATGCAGCAGGTACTAGAAAAAGAAGCACCTTCATGAGTGCCAAACAAGTGCTTTTGTGTCAGTTAAAATGTAAGAATTCAACAGTATCATAGTAGTGAGAAAACCTACCATGTTCTCCGTTGCTGTACACGTAACTCGCATGCACACAATACGAGCGATGGCCGTTTTTGTTTACAACATTTATATGCAAAACATTTAGAGACACGTGCAAATCATTTTCAGGCAAATCATATTATATCCGACTCGACCAACTGATGTATACTGCAGCGTATAGCCCATATCTCATACCATTTATACCATATTGGTTATAGCCTAGTATCTAGTCTGTGGTTATGTAGAACTCCTGTATATTATCATGTAAGCCATATTTCATATATATTATATCACTTTTATAAAATAGTAAAGTGTTAGTTTCGATACATAGAACTTACAAGCATTACTGTAGACGTTAGAATAGATATCAGCTAGATATGTAGTATCTCTGAAGAGCTTGCCATACATCGTACCTGTTACAACTGTTGTGCAATAAAGTTTGAATTGATTTGACTAACTGGCCGTGACGTCATGTAGCGATCGCTCGTAATATCAGGGAAGCTGTCATAACTAGATCACAATTACAACCAATCAGATAAATCTGTGCGTACGTAAACAAATTGGAGGGAATGTGAGCATCATCTGTTACAAGCCAAGGTAATTGATCCCTGAGGTAACGGCGTACCGAAGCGATTAGAAATGGATTGCTAGTTTGAACCCGTGAGGTATGAAGTGGAAATCTGTCTTTGGGGGTTTTGAAGTACAAAGGATGCTTGAAACCATCAGTATTCTGTAAGTGTAACCAATCTACGGGGTTTGGGAGACAAGATATCAAAACCGACAAAGATTTAAAGGCGTCAAATGCAATTTCAGGGCGGCAAAGCAAAAAGAAAAAGGGATTTTAAATGTGCTAATCTGTCTAATTTTTACATTTACTACCATTTCTTAGCTTCCTTTCATACTTTCATAAAGCGTTTGAAATGCATACTCGTACCATGTACAATTGTTGAGTAATAAAGTTCATTCATTCAATTTTATCGAAATATTTCATTCACCATTGATTACTTATCAAAGATTTCACATTTCACATTCAGTTCAGATTTCTTGTTTTATTCATTATTGTGAATTTCTCGCTGATTCTGATTATATGATTCTTCCCACTGGACTCCATATAAGGCAACAAACAGTGAACACAGCAGGGTATCATAGACAGGAAATGACGTAACCTGTGTACTATTCTCAGTCTGGGGAGAGACTATTTGGACCACCAATTCGACCTTCCTGTCAGTCTGCGGTTACACTATCCCCTCACTTCCTGTCACTTTACTGCATTCAAATACCTACAGACACACAAGCAGATACACGGGCACAACAATACCTCCACAGAGGTTATGAAAGGTATCAACATATCATCTGCATAATTTGTATCGTCTTCCATGTCTCTACCACATACAGATACTACACAGAGATATGTATGTATCTACTAGTATATCTCTATATAGATATACGCAGCATTTTTTTGCATTTTTTGTAATGGTTGATATTGTCCATGAGTTGACTAAATTTTGACTTGCCGCATCGGGATATCATTCATAGTGTTATCAAGGTTTTAAAATCTATTGGGATATGATTTGATATTGGAAAACACCTCCGTATATGTTACTTGGTTAGCACTAATACCGACACAATATACACACTTTTCTGTCTGCTATTGGATCTAAATTATCATATTACCGAGTACTATCATGACGTGAACTTTGGCACAGGTCACAACACTAGAAACCACGACATCTCAGCATTCCACTAGTACGTATTTGAAGATTAAACTAGTTAATTTCAACATTCAAATATATCATTTAGTCCATATATGATGATTTTACTCTACAATCATTTCACGCTGATAGAGATTTTACCAATCTTCACAAAAATAGTTAACTTACCATATACATATATAACAATATATAGATATATACAAATATATACATGATAACTTTATATTGTTCTGCATAAGCTATTCAATCTTCCATCATGATCAGAGCCTTTTAAATATAGAAGTTTTAGTGCTAAGTTTGGTACAGGTATTTGTATGTTGGTCCCTTGTAGGGTTTTGTCTTGGTCTTCTTGAAATGATACACAACAAACCAATCAACTAATCTTTTACAAAGTTCTCATATGTGGTGAATGGTATTTGTTCCACCCAAAAGTTCTTTGTGGTTCTCATTTACCGATACTGTAAATTTTTAGAGGTCAATTCAAAGATGGCGGCCCACGACTGGTGGTCAGGAACAGTGCATTGCGCATGTCCGTTTGGACGCAAAGGATTATGGTAGGTGGCTATGAAGTCATTGCTATTGGAGTCAAGTTTCTACAACCGGAAGGTTTAGATGTGCCGGCTGCAGGAAATGTTTGTGTCGGCGGTCTGACTCTTCAGTCTCCGCAGGAATACTGGCCCCGGCCTGGTCCCCCAGCTGCTGTTCGATCGTTGCCAACTGGGCGACATTCGGGGCCACCGCGCCCACCCGGTTCAACATGAAACATCTCGGGAAGGCCTTTTTGAAGTTCTGCCGAAAGTGTTCGCCCATGAAGCCGTAGACGAAAGGGTTGGCTGCGGAGTTGGCGTAGCTGAGGCAGTGGGCGAACATCTTGATACACAACGTGGTGTAAGTAAGCGGGAAGTTCTGATCGAACACTGCGGACATGTTCAGGACGTGGATAGGGAGCCAGCAGAGAGCGAAGAGCAGGACGACCACGGCGACCATCCGGGTGACTCTCTTCTGCCGCCGCAGGGCGTGCTGCTCCCCCTCGTTGTTCTGCCCGTCGTAGTCGATGACCCTGGCCCGCAGGCTCCGCACGATCAGCCCGTAGAAGGTCGCGCTGACCAGCAGGGGGATGATGTAACTGTTGACCACGATGTAGACGTTGTAGACCTTCTCTTCGTGAAGGGTCCAGTCCTCACGACAGAGGATCTGGTTCCCCATCCACTTGGTCGTCTCAAGCCGTGCGGAGATGGCAATCGGCAAGGACAGAAGGAAGGAGCCTACAAGAAAAGGAAACATGAAATCTAAAGAAAATCCCACATGAAACCTAAAGAAAATCCAAAATAAAATCTATTTTCAATTGTTATATGTCTACTTATTTTTCTTTCAATAATGTACAAGAGCTGGCAAGAACATAAGTTGTGCATATCTTGAGCGTAGTCACTTAGACTAAGTAGTCACTTAGACTAAGTAGTCACTTAGACTAAGTAGTCACTTAGACTAAGTAGTCACTTAGACTAAGTAGTCACTTAGACTAAGTAGTCACTTAGACTAAGTAGTCACTTAGACTAAGTAGTCACTTAGACTAAGTAGTCACTTAGACTAAGTGACTACTTGAGTTTATTCATGAGCAAAGTGTCCTTACAAGACCATTTCTGTTCAATGCTCACACATCTATGTGAATAAAACAAAGATTTGTTTATGATATATGTGTACTCACTGATCCAGATACAGCCACTGATGGTCATCGCTATGGCCGGACTGCGGTAAGGGATGGACGAGATGGGGTGGACAATAGCGCAGTACCGGTCAACACTGATCGCCGCTAGCGTCAAACACGTGGCCTGGACCGTCACCTGATAATAAACAGATGGAGGAATACGCTTAGTTTCAGTTTTGACCATCGAGAATTTACATGGGAAATTCTACAACAGTGCGGAAAAATAAAACGACCGAATCTAACATCGTTTACCAAGACCTTTAAAGTCTTTATTTGCAAAATCATGCCCGAAGGCTAATTGCTTTTCCAGAGTCAAAGATACTATTCGGCACAATACAGTAATAGTAGACAGACAACTACTGTCTGCAAATACATGTACTTATGCTTCTATTCAGTCTATTTAAGAAGACCAGAGTGACTGGTCGAAAGCTCTAGATGAGAACATTTTCTCTTTCTCTTTCTTTTAACTTCAAACATGTAAATACCAACGTAAACACACTTTCATGACAGAAAGTACTTATCATCCATATTTAATACGTGCAATAGCATGATTCTAAATCCAGAGGTATGATTAACTTTTCTTGACCTGTTCTCAGTTACGCCCCCTCCCTAAAATGTTGGATAGATTCACCAACACTCAACGCAAAATTATTCCGCCTACATGTCCAAACTCTCTAGGCAGTGTTTTATTACTTACGTCTGTCTAATACATTTCTTGGAGAAATGTATTAGACAGGCGAGAGGTGAGAATTATCTCTTGTTTTGGATCAAAAGTACTACCAAATCTAACGTTAGCAAGATGAATATATAAAAATAAATAAAATAAAAAGAAGGCAAAGGACATATTACTGAACAAAACAACTGCACATGAACCTATACTTTCCTTTTAAAATATCCTGTTTTGATACGAGTACCACACTACTAGCACAAGAGTAGTCTTCAGGTCGACTGTCCTTCATCCTTTTTTTGCTATCAATTTGTTTTCTCGTCCGCGAAAAGCAATCATCACTGTCAAATATAAACCGTGTGGTTTCTGATGAAGGTTCTGCCCGGTAGGTGTCCATGAGATTAGATGTATCGGGCGTAGACTGCCGCTAGCGAAGACAACGTTCCAAAACCGTATTTAGATGTGAGGCGTGATTAAGTAGTGAAGGCTACATTTTGACGCAAGCTGTTGGGGTTCAGATGAGGACACGATGTATGTGATGGTCCGCGCTTAGAGAACAGTTTGCTCCCTAGAGAGGACCAACTCCAATTTCTACACTTTGCAGCCGCTTTCCGAAGCCTGATAGAGGCTACAACAAACAAAAGATTTGTGCAGATGCATTTTCGTTGAACAGGAGAGTCAGTGTATATATGTCGGTGAGGGTTAGACATCCAGGTAATAAAATACCCCCAAAACAGTTACTCATCAAGCAACTGGATATGATTTTGGAAACGGTCAGACGTTTCAGGTAGCATCCACTACCTTTCGTCAGTGACACTAATAGACTGCAGGAGAAATGTAGGTTTATAGGCACGAACTATTGATTGTTTGAACTTTCAGGCACTTAATATTTGGCCGGCGCTCCTAGCCCCAAGAACAGATAATACGGATTCTGAAACAACAGGAGCTTCTTGACTACTTTGCATCATCCTTGCCTTGACTTGTCTAACTTTTGTTTGGAAAAATTGTCTTCACTTATTTGCGTATGTTTTTTTTGCGTATCAGTGTATATATGTTGCAGGGAGCTAAGCATGACCCAGAGCACATCACACCATCAACGTTGACTATAACACTACATCATAAACAGGAAGATTGAATGACTCAATTTGTAAAGATCTATGTAATAGTCTCCAAGAGGCAATATTGAGAAGCCGGTGGGATTTAGAGCGCCATAAACAGGTTGCCATTCCACCGCAAACATTCCCTTATATGGGTAAACGATGTTTACAAGTGCGTACAAGTCAGCAAGTGGTTACAATTATCGTGTAGGGTTGTCAGATCCCATCGGTAAATCTAACTTCGAACACAGCACAAGATTCCTACTAACGACCCGCTCCATCGTGGACTGAATCCCCGGCACCAGGTTTTCAAAGTGCGGCCAGCCGGTGGTGTTATCTTTCCCCGTTGATTGCAAAGCCCGGGGCAGTTTCAATTAGGTAAAACGGCGTTGCTACCGGCTAATACTAATCCTTTGGCCAGGCAGAGTGCCTCTCATTACAGCGTCCTTGAGCTACACGACTGCTGCTTAGGAGTTGAAACTCCTCCAGACTCGCAGCACTTATCTTTAAGTTACTCATCGGACGGTGTTCACGCCCTGTATTCTATCAATGCTACATCTCTGGTACATGTACAAAATAAGTTATAAACTGGTGGACGTTCCAAGTATCTAATACCAGCCCAGAAAAGAACGAAAATCAGCCATGCCTTCAAATATCAACCAAGTTATCAACCAGTAAGGCCATGTTGATTTGATTATATGGATGACATCCTCCGGGAACCCCAAAATTGATGCGCGCGTGCGAATAAAAAAAAAGTTTTGCCAAAAAAAAAAGTTGTTTTCATTATGAAATCTACGTGGTCATGAGGGTTGAGCAAATGGGACAGAATATGGTTTGGCGAATAATCTAGTCTTCAAGTTCATTTCTTTATAATTTCGTCTTTTTTCGTTTGATTTTGGCATTCTACGACATTGGTATGGTTTTTTTGTAACTTACGGTATATTTTTGCTCATTTTGCAACTGTTTTGTACGATTTACAGTATGGTTGAAAACTTTTTTTTTTGGTAAACGGCCGAAAATTCATGCGCGCGCGGATGTCATCCATATAATCAAATCAACATGGCCTAATTGAGGTGCTCGAAAAAAACTATCGTTGAGTGGAAGTCGTTGCCACCAAGCACAGTTGGGGCATCATCACTAGAAAGCTAGCAATTTAATGTGCAAAGATTGGGTGTAGCAATTTTGTGTAATATAGCCAGCTGCCGCTGCCGTGTGCCTGCGAAGCTGGTGTGTTACACGCCGAAGGGCGGTTATACCCAGGTTATACCGACTATACCGATACAGATATCTCAGTAACTTTCTTGTTGACTAGATTAAGATCAGATGTGAAGCACGTTCTCTAGTGGATGAGCAGGAAAAATGACGCCAGGTGGATCGATGTTCAGGCGTTGAACCGTGATGTAACAAGATGAATCCGTCTTCCAAAGTCATTACTCTTCCAATCCGACAACTCTTGGCAACGCTGTGTTACGGCAAGAAGTCATCAATCATATGAAGAGGCGTTACTCGGGCTGTTATCTAGTCTCCACTCGAGACGTTTCACGGATGGAGAAGAGTGGAAATAACTGGACCTTGTCTGCCTTGATAACTCATACAGCGCGTTTTGCAGCATCTTTGGAGAACCGGTGCAATATACAGCTCACTCGGGAAGAGTGCTCATTTTGTAACCAGGAGGTCGTGAGTTCAAACCCCGGCCGGGTCATACCAAAGACTTTAAAATGGTAGTACAGTACATACTGCTTTCTCTGCTTAGCATCTACGAGAAAGAGTATGGAAAGGTCAAACACACAACACTACCAGCGGACTAGCCCCCTACTGTAGTGCTTGCGGAAAACTGTGCGGCCCAGCCAAGGGCTACAGAAATGGAGTTGGGCATCGCCCCTACGCTCCGTATGGCGTGGAACTGGACTTTTTTTGACAAAGTTCTAATTTTTGTTGGCTACGTAGCGTCTCAAACAGTGAGTGGCGTTTTCTATTGTAAGCACAATAGAAGTCACACAGTTCAAGTTTAAACCAGTAAGCGTCTTTGCTCAGTGATATTTGAAAGCTATGCCGATCAGACGGCTTTTACGAGAGATTACCTGACATTCAATGTAGTTAGATGAGAAACCCAATTCGTTACACTCCATTTGATACGCTGAACAGCATTTTGTGTCGGAAATCACCGCCGTTAAATTGCATGGATGACGTCCGGTACCAGTACGACGACTTTTGAAGTAATGTCTAGATTTCTTTGAGAGAATTAATTTTAAGTTTGCCTACAAGAGGGAGCCCTTGCGTATAAGGCCATGTTCACTTGATTATAAGGATGACATCCTCTGATTATATGGATGGCATCCTCTGGGAACCCTAAAGTCGCCTTCATTATGAAATCTAGGTGGTCATAAATGTTGAAAAAATGACTTAACACACAAAGTAAGTAATATGTTATTGGCATGGTGAATAATGCTGTTATAGACTCTTCATTTTCATTCCTTCACATTTTCTTCTTGTCCTTTGGAATGGAGTTTGGTATTCTGCGACATAAGTATCGTTTTCCAACATTTCTTAGCTTTTTCAATTTACGGCATATATTTGCTCATTTTGCAGCTACTTTGTATGATTTACAGTAGGGTCGAACACTTTTTTGGGGGGAAAATTCATGCGCGCGGATATCATCCACATAATCAAATCAACATGGCCTCAGTGGTGCGTTGATTTGTATGCGAGTCACTGCTAATTAGATTTCGGTACTGTACTCTGAATGACAGTGGAAACTTAAGTAGCCACTGGCATCGCTCTTCTTGGATCTTGTTCTACAAACTGATTAGTGCAGAGGTGGATCTTCAATGTTCCCACTGAAAGACGTCTTCAGACAGCGTAGCTCACCACTTAAGACAAAGAGAGACGTGGGAAGGGTAAGGTGGGCGGAAGTCAGGCTCAGGTGTTCTTAAGAGATAACTCATGACGAACTACGTACTTGGAGATTTTTTCGTCGTAGGCGTTTCCAAGAAAAGTTCTTGGCCATACTGTACATCGTACAAAGCAGCTGCAGAAAGAGTAAATGTATTGCAAAAATAACTATAACTGAAAAACGATACTGATGTTGTAGAATGCCAAAATCACTTCCAAAGGAAAAAAAAAGAAAATGTAAAGAAATGAAAATGAAGAGTCTACTTTTCGGCACACCATACTGTGTGTGTTGAGCCATTTGCTCAATTTGTTCAAACGTTCGAATTCTTGCTTTCGCATGAAGCTAATTTCAATTGTGCAGAAAATGTATATATAGTAAACATTTGAAATGCTACTACTACTATTACTAGTACTTGACTTGGTGAAAAATATGTGATATTGCTATCTGTTTCTACGCTCTGTCTTGACTACTGCAACAGT